AGAGACTGAACCTTTTGTAAAAGAAAATAATACTTTAGAAGGTACTACTGAAGAAAATAATGAACCAAGTGGCTGGGGTTCCCCTCCTAAAAACACTGAAGAAGATAGTTGGGGCTCGTCTCAACCTCGAAATAATAATAATAATAATAATAATAATAATAATAATTGGAATAAAGAATCTCAAGCAAATAAATGGAAAAAAGATCCTTCCGGTAAAAATGATAAAAAAGATTTCAATGAAACAAGAAGATATAGTAATTCTTCTCAACATTCTAAAAAATTACAAAATGATGAAAGTAGTTGGGGCTCAAATAAACCTGTTGATAATTCTACCGAGAATGAGGGTTGGGGTCCTGTAGATAAGTCGGTTGAAAATGAAAATTGGTCAACAAATAGCAATGGTTGGAACACTTCTACAACTGATGAATTCAATAAGGATCATCATAAACATGATAATTATCATCGTGGAGGACGTGGTGGTGCTCATCGCGGAAGAGGAAGGGGTGGCCATCAACACGGGCGTAATGATCGTGATAATTTCAGAAATGATTCGGATTTTAGAGGTCATAATCAACGTTCTTCTTTCTCACGAAGTGGTAACGATAAATATAATGGTAATAAAATCTTAATTTATCAATTAGAATTTTTATCAATCAATTTCATTTAGATCAATTAGAATTCTTTATCAATTAGAATTCTTTATTAATTAGAATTCTTTATCAATTAGAATTCTTTATCAATTAGAATTTATCAATTAAAAGTTTTTGATTATTTATACCTTTTTTTTTTGTTTGAATCATTTATATAGATCATGATCGCGAAAATAATCGTGAGAATGGTAGTAAAGACGGAAATGTTGGTGACCAAAACCAAAATGCACAAAAAACTGCAAACTCTAATGATAATACTCATTCATCTAAACCTGAGAATGCTCCTTATGTAAATAAAGATCGTGTTTTATCTGGTGGACGTGCCAGAGAGGTTGGTAACTAATTACTCTTTATAATCTTTATAATCTTTATAAGAAAGGGTAGAAAATAACTTTGGTTTAAATTTATTGCTTTTGCAGAAGGTTGATGAAGAAGAACTAGAAAAACGAATGCAGCGAATCCGTATTCAAAACGAAAAGATTTTAGAAAAAAGAAAGGTATTTTTAGAATTTACATTTTTTAAAAGTATAAACATAGAATTTATTACATTTCTTAAAAGTGTAAACGTTAAAACTTATAATATCTTAATTTTGTTTTTTAAATATATATAAAGATGGTAGAAGAAGACGAAGAAAAATTTCGTAAGGCAGAAGAAGAAAGAAAAAAGAAAGAATTGGAAGACCAAGAAATTCAAAGAAAATTACGTGATGAGGAGGAAGAAGAAAAACGAAGACGCGACTTTCAAAAAAAGCAGTTACAAGAACAGCTCGAGTAATTTTTAACTTTTCCATTTTTATTATTCTTAAATTTTATTTTTCATATATATTAAAATTATATTCCTTTCTAAGTAATGAACGCGAAGAAAATGCTCAACGTAAAATTCAAAATCGTGATGCTCGAGAATGGGACAAGGAAAACCCAGCCACTTGGTTCATTATTTTCTTCAGTAGTACCTTCTAAAGTATTATTTTCTTTTACAAAAGGTTCAGTCTCT